ACTTTTTATATATTACGTTCTAAATAAGCTTGAAAATAAATTTTATTATAGACAGGTTTGCATCAAGACTAATATAAAATTTATTGAATTATTTACTATAATTAACTCTTTTTTAAATTCTGCAAGACTTCAAATTGGTTTACAAGTAATCTCGAACATTTGTTTATTATTTAATAATCAAATCCTTTATGCGAAGAATACTTAATGTGTGACTTCAATTTTAATGCTTATTTCTTTAAGTAATTAATGATATAGTTTTTACGAATTTCAACTTTTTATGTGTATAACATAAATTTTTATTATAACATAACGTGTAACAGTATACACAATGAAAATGAAGGTGACTGTATCAAATTAGTAAGTGACTGTATCGAGGTAGAAAGTGATTATATCGAGTGCATGGAAAAGATGTAAAATTTACCCTCCCTAGTACCTAAAAACTGATTGTCCTCCACTTCGCTCCGGACAATAACAATTTAAACAACCTTCTATTCACATCCCAACAACTTAAAACAAACTTAATATGGTTAGACTCAAATTCCACAACAGACAGCAACAATAACATATCACCACCAGAACCTCACAATGACCCCCAATCACAATACATCAACATAGACACCTCAACAAATATCCCAATCACAACAAAAAAACAACAACCCAAGCCCAACACAATCCCCATATCCCCAGAACACTTATGAAAAATTCTTATAACAAATGTTAGAGAACTCAAATCAAACCCAGGGAAAGTACTCCTTCAGACAGAATGAATCAACAAACACAAACCAAATATTCTCGCACTCACAAAAACAAACTTAAGCAAAACCGAAGGGCAACTTCATTTCTTTCACAATTATCAAATCTTATGGAGCAACACAAGTGACCAAATCAAAGGATTCAGAGTAGCACTACTGATAAAAAAAAACTTAGCAAAACATATCTACAAAAAACAAATATAGAAAGACAGAATTATTGCTATTGACTTACTCATCAAATTTAAATGCAAACTTAGAATCATTGCTATTTTCTTCCTTTCCAAGTCTATTAATTCAACCAAGAATGTATCAAAGAAGCTCTCAAACTTGTCAATGAAGCAAAAACATTAAACAGTCAAATAATAATCTTAGGAAACTTCAATTTAGTACTAAACTCAAGTATAGACATGTCCAACTCAAAGTTTTCAAAAACAAAATAATACTCACCAATAGGAAAATTCATCCAATGGCTATCAAACAACCAACTTCTAGACACCTTCCACAAGATCAATCCATATAGTAACCAACACACATGAAGCAACGCAGAAAATATAGTCAGTAGAATTAATCAAATTTGGATCTTTTCAACACTACTCTGGCTCCTCCTGAAAGCAAACATACAATAAACTGACAAAGAAATAATGGAAACTGATCATAACACTGCATATTGCATTATTCAATATTTGATTATAGATCCTCTAGCAACAAACAGATAAAGAACACAATCTAATATCAGATACAATTGGCAGGATACATCACAAGAACAATGGAAAGACTTTACAAATCCATACAAATTAAACTTCAATACTCCTAAAATGAACTAAACATATCACCAGATAAAGTGAACAAGAAATGGAATCTCTTAAGAAAAGCAATTCTACAAAGTGCAACCCTCTATATAAAAAAGTACAAGAAAAAGAAAAGATTATCAAAAACCTCCAGCCCCCAATATATATCCTACGCAAACTCTCGAAAATCCAATTACTGGAAAAACAACTCCTAAATAAGAACTTATTAATAGAACACATTTTTAAGAAAATTAAGTCCATATCAAAAAAACTAACCAGCAGATACTTGCTTTCAATAGACACTCTAACAGAACCACTTTGCACTACTAATATCTTAGAGTAGATCAAATCTATTAAAGACATAAGAAATATATACAAAACAATCATTAACAACCTGTGTAGAAACAAGCAAGCAAAAGCAATAAAGAAGTGACTTCTAAGAAGACAAACATACCTCAACATTAACAAAAAACATATAATTAGAAACCTATTAGATGATTGAAAAAGACATATTATATTAGCCAAACTAATTACAAGTACATCAGAGAAAACAATTATTACAGATCCAGAGAAAATCAAGAAGGCAGTAAGTATACACTATCAGAACTGGACCAGCATCCGCAATACCAAAACAATCCAATCAACAATATGGGAAGAGAAATACAAATCTATAAGACAAGTGAAAAAAGAATGGTACACAAATATAACCAACACTATTACAACTAAAAAAATCCAAGAATTATTAAATAAGTACCTTAGCAAATTAGCACCAGGACCATCAGAAATCCCTTATATCACACTTAAAAAACTAACCAAAAAAACAATCTACTACATAGCAGACCTTTTTAATAACATCTTACAAATAGGAAACATGCTAAACAAGTGGAGCCAAGATAACATATATCCTATCTCCAAGCTAAAATTATAGGTAAACAATTTCAACATAACAAGACCAATTCCTCTTCTCGAAACAATACGAAAAATTTTCACTAAAATAATCAACAATAGATTAGCAACTAATTACAAAAATGTATTTATCCAGAATTCAGTTGTTATTACATTTTTTTGTGTAATAAAACAAAAGTCTGGATCTTTTCTGCATTCACTATATATAATTGCAATATATTTAATTGCTTAAAATAAAAATATTTTAAATAATTTGCATAAACTTTAAAAAATTCAATAACACATGTAACCATTTCATATATTGAATTTCACTAAGTTTCTACATCTAAAATAGATTTTAAATTTTAAATTTTTAATATTTCACAAGCTTCTTCTAATTTTCTTGGTGCTAAGGTAATGATCAAATTTTTGCAACAAATTTATGAAACTATAAATAAAAATAATTTAAAAAAATAAAAAAAATAGTTTTTAAATATTATAAATACAGTATATATTATAAATTACCTGTTTTAATTTATCGGCAATTTCTTTTAAAGCTTTTTGTATACTTAAATTAATAATATGGGAAAAACATTGGAAATGATTTGTTTCAGCTGTAAATGAAATAGCTTGGTTTCTACTCCATTTTTCCACTGCAGTAGCAAATGTTAAATTGTTACTGGCATTATTAGTTATAACATATATTATCTTTTAATTTAATAAATAAATATAAAATAAATCTTATCTTTGTTTGAATCATAAAATTTTCCAAGCATGTTAAGAATGCTTTTTTTATATTTTCATTAGAATGGACACTTCAGATTTGTACAAAATCAATTGTTATTGATTGCATTTTTCAATTTTTATCGATAAAATATGCAGAAATGGCCAAAAAAGCTTTTATTGATACTAAAGTCCAAATATTAAGGGTAAATAAGATTCGATTTTCTGTTTCTTGTAACAATTTCTATATTTTTTTTGATCGGCCAGGTGAAATTTCATTATATTTGTTTTAATAGAAGTCAGCGAAGGTAATTTTACATTTTCTGAAAAATCTTTATAAAATTTTAAAAAGTTGATTCTTGTACGATCGTAAAAGAATATTGCTTGACAACAATCTATTGAATTAAATTTTTTTTCATTTTTTTATAATCGTATATCCACTAAATATAAAAATATTAAATAAATTAAATAATAAACTTGGTATTTAATATAAATAAAATTTATTATCTTTGCTTTATTAAAATAATTTTTGATACTTGGTTTGTTAATGTTCCAATCTAATTTTACTGCATGATATTTTTTAAGATGTTTATATATATTAGTAGTACTGTTTTCACTACAAATATATATAGCATTGCAATAGTTACAAATTGCTTTTTTAGTATTTTTAAAATCCAAATCTTTCGTAAAATGACTTTATACTTTACGTCAATTTGTTATTGTAGAAGATAATTCTGTTTCTGACAAATTACTTGTAATAATATTACTGGTATTGCTGTTTTCATGACTAATTAAGTTGCTATTTTCATCATTAATATATTGAAAATTAAAACTGTTAGAAAAATTTTATGTTCCATTTTAAAAAAATTGCTAAAAAATTATTAATAAGAAGTTTAACAATAACTATTAGAATAAAAAAATATCAGTATTAAACAAACTTGCTGAAATATAAAGGAATGATAAAAACAATAAAAATAAAATTGTCAAAAAGTTTTTTATTTATAACCTTATATTGTGAAAAAATGAAGAAAAGTCAAGTTGTGAAAAATTTTTGATCATTTTATTTTATAACTTTATATATTTCATTTTAATTTAATTTTTCTATTTTTGTTTTTATTTAATATAAAATATAAAAAATCAAAATCAGTTTTGATTCAAACCAAAACCAATCTGATCTGATCCGATTAGTTTATAAAATTTTAAAACTGATTTGATCCAATTTTTATCATTTAAAAATTTTAAAAATCAAATTGATCTGAACCAAAACAAATTTGCAGATCAATCAGTTTTTGGTTTAAAACTTTGATCCCTATTGTTAACAAGAAAATGTATGGTCGAAGCCATATAATATATCTTTTGCATTACATAACTAATTAATATATTGGTAATATTCTATCAAATAGTCTTATGACATTATAAAAAGCTTAAATAATTTATTGTTATATAATGCAATAATTTATAAGTCATAGCAGAGATAGTTATATAACATATTAGAATAGTGATAAACATATAAATAGGAGTGAAAAAGTGCAAAACAAAGGAGGCAATTGCAATAAAAATCTTAATCCTAATCTTAAAAATAACAATCTTAATTAACATTCTTTCCTATTGAGAAAGGAAGTATGAAACAGTTATTCAAATTCTCGGTACCCGGCTGATCTAATGAAAGGAAGGAATCTCCATATGGTGAAGCAGGGGCATTAATTATACAATGTTTGAATTGCTGAAAATCAACAGTAGAATTACAAATCAACATTCCATTCGCTTGTAGTGAGACTTTTTGATTTTGTGTCTGTATAATGTTTTGCAATTTCAAGTTGTAGATTGTGGTTTTTAAATTGGATATCACCATTCAAACGTGCTCCCGCGTGAACACTGAGATCGTTACTAGCTCATCTTCTTCAATCACAGCTGACTTTATACAACGAAATGATGCGACAAATTTTTCAAAACTCTGCCATGACTTTGCTTGTAATGATGTTACTGGATTCAGGAGTGCTCTTTGTTCCTCATAATCTGCGAACTCCCAATCTCGAAGTATTGGATCTCCTTGTTGCTGAGATATCTCTACAAATATCCAGATCCAGATGTACGGCGCAACGAGGTATCCGTTTGGGCTATTTTCTATTTGTTCAAATCGAATTAACCCACCCCCAGCAAATTCATCTGGTTTTTTGTTAGTTTTAGGAAAAGGCGTATACCTATTTAAGATACGTCGAGTCAATATTGCTCGTGCAATAGGCCTGGCATCGTCCACAGAATCAAGAATAGCATCACGGTATTTTTCAGTAATTTTAGAACACAGATCGTTCATCAAAATATTGACGTTGCATTCTTCAACGTTACGACCAGCTAAGCAATCATTCAGAACTTCCAGTGTTCTTTAATGCCCTTCACAGTCTTCCACAAAAGACCGGGACCAAACCATCTACTTGTCGATAGCTCGGGGGTTGTAGAGAAGTGACCGGTAGGTATATACGTTTTCGCTGAGAATATCTCAACGTACCATCAATCGGCTCAGTGATAGTTGAGGTACAAACAGGTATCACAAAAGTGTCACTAAATGCAAGATCTGTGACAGATGTCAAAGTCTTGTAAAACAAAGAATCTGACTTTAAACCGTCATCTTTGTTCACATAAGTTGTTGCATGCCGTCAACAATTAAAATGACTGTAACGTTTTTCAAGTCTTGATTATGACGTTTGGCAATTAATGTCACAACATCCAACGGATCTGGTGGCTCGTATGTCTCAATGATTTTATTAAACGTCATTTTCTCTCTGAGAAGTTGAAATAGCATACGGGTACCAATGGCATGATAAGGGTGGGATTTGTCTTCTCGTAAGATAAAGCCATTCTCATAGGTGACATGGAATACCCAAGCTTCTTTAATCCTAGTCAACAGTTCCTCGTCTTCTTGAGCTGGCAAACATGGGATTGCCATCTGGTGGGATTCATTAGCGTTTCGAGATTTTCCGGTACCAGCTCTAGAAAGGAATAGATACAACGGAAGATTCAATTTGTCAAAACGCCTTAAAATAATATTTTCATAATGATTTTTAAGCCCTCCTCGCAAGATCTGCCCCAAAGATAGGTCAGGCTGATATTCCCAATTAGCGCCAGAAGTGTAAAGCAAAGGTTCTGGTTTCACATATGGCAACCCTCCCTAGCATATAAATAGTACGTCCGATCGGCCTCAGCATAAGAACGAGATTATTGCAGAAATTGCTTAATACATACCACCAAGAAAAGCATCAAAGATTTTTTCGTAACTCCTGTGTTGGGGGAGGGGTTTTGAGGATAAGGAGCATTAAATAAAAAAAGCATAAGATTATATATTCGATGTCACACAATAAAGACGAAAAAATGGTTAACGAAAAATCCAGCAAGGTCGTGTTATCTGAATTTATTACGACTCACTTACCCTCTACGATAACGTGAATGTGTTTTTTGGGCAGTTTTGACGATAAGAAGCAGGAAAGAAAAGTACATGAATAAGTAAGTATTCGGTATTATTGGCAAATATGACAGAAAACGAGAGTTTAAGCAACATTATCTTAGAATGTACCAGGTGAAGAGATTAGAGACCTCAAATAAGTACGTTTATCTTAATCTGTATCAAAATCATCAAGACAGGATACTGCAACAGCAATTTTTTCCACATTTTCGGTAAAGTGAGAGAGTAAACTTATTTTTTCGCCTGAAACAAACCCAAGACGATTGATTTCTCCTTTTAGAATTGGTTTTTTTATTCGAAATCTTATTGAAGTGTGATAAGCTTGTCACAGTAAAGTTACGCAAGTCACATGGAAAAATAGAATCAAAAATCTTTTATTATTTATGCTCGAAGGATTTCACTTCACTTTTAAAATTTAGGCTGACCCCAAATGAGATATACACACAACTATATATGAAAAAAGTTTATCGCGCATCTTCATTACGTCTACTGTATATTAAAATACATAGAGCAAAGTTAACGGAAAAATTATTCAAAAATTAGGTTGCACACACAAATAGCATGGGCTAAATTTATTTTTATTGTACACAGTGCAAGTCAGGAGATCCATTATATCGATCAAGATTTAATATACAATAATTGGTTTGTTGACGCGTCTGATAGCTCTATTCCTTTACGTGACAATATGCTAACTCCTTTAGAGTTCTTGCTTGCTGTTTCAGGTCGCCTATTTCAGATGTATCGGAGTAATTATCATGAACCACAGTGTTCGTAGCTTCGTCTTCCTCTCTACCATTTCCTTCTGTGTCACAGCTATCCGCACGGTTCTTACCCTTGAGACATCTTATTCTTTGGACTAAGTCTGCCTTTACGCCATCTGTAGCAATCCCTAATGCTTGACAGACATTTTCGAGATCATTTTTTGAAATATTTGCGTTGGGCATTACTAGTTGTAGGTAGTCAATATACGAAAGAGTCAGGTAGAAAATCGGATAGCGAAGAAAACAAGCACTAATGATCCCATAATCACGTCATAACTACTTAATACCATGTAAGGTGATCTTCGTGATACTGTAATAACCCTTGCATGACTATCGTCATGCATCGGGTCTAACGCTGAATATCCATTACGTTGAGAAAATAAGATTTCTACAAGAATTATGAAGGAGGAATTATCATATGGTAAGATGCTCCGAAGAAGCACATGATATGATTTGAAATCTTGAGCAATATGTATTTAGTTAAATGATCGAGTTTTATACAAGGACATTTAGAAATGTATGAGCGAGAGATTGCATTGCATATCATAGTTACCCACTTGACCTCTCCCTTAATTAGATCATAGAATACAAAAACAGCTGATGGTTAGATTATTAGATTTGTACTTTTTTTTTTAACACAAATTAATTACGTAATATGTAAACAGATATGATGAATAATAATGTAATGGTACACATTATATCGGTGATTTGCAAACTGGACTGATAAACAGCCTGAAGAACATGCATACATTTCTAATGTTCTTCGTATAAAACTCGATATTTATTAACCAATAAAATTTGTGAATATTATCCAATTACATAGAAAGCTTGCTATGCTAGTGTACTCTGCCTATAAATTTCTTTGCTTGGTTGGTCTTCAAATTCTTGATCGGACTCTTCGTCTTTGATTTTGAGTATTTTTCCTATATGTAGTAAGACCACCCGATCAAATTTTTTTAATAAAAGATGTGGCACAAGAGCAAGACTTGGGATTATGGTGTGCTTAAACAGGAGGACGAAGAGTGGTGTATTCAGATAATGATAAAACCATAATTAAAGGAGCTGGATGATTTGACTCTCAGAAAATTAATATTTGCCTCAACAATTTATTTAAGTAAAATCATACAGCATTAGATTATATAATGTTAAACATACAATTAAACTTATCAAGTTCTTTTACGTCACCTGCTGATTCGTAAGGGTTTAGCATACAAATTTGTTCATTTATATTGGCATTAGGTCTTTAAATTAGTCAAGATAGCATTGTATTTAAAACATTTTAAGTTTATATTTTGCTCTTTATTTCTCCAGATATTACGTAATTCTATGCATGTTAATAATTATTTAAAATATAAAGATTAGCTTCAAATTTAATGACTATTCCCATTAAATCGAATATAGATGAAAGTGTTATCGGCCTTAAAAACTTTATTATTGCATAAATCTAAAAATCATCAGCAGTCAGCACATAGAAGTAATTAAAGTAAAAACAAATCACTTTTTGATACTCCTGATTATACTTGCCACCCATATTTTGGGAATTGGAACAATCCCAATACCCATTAGATTATAACCTATTTGGTATTAGTGTCATTGAAAATCCCAACCTATACATACGTAATTATGTCATTCATTACGTTAATTATAGTTTAATAAATTTAATAACTATTAATATGTTTATACGTTTTTTTTTGTTTTTCTTTATTAAAAAAACAAATTATGTTATACGATTCAGGATCAAATACTATAGATTCATTCTCAATTGTTGACACACTTGAAAATGAAAGTTTGATATTAAGCAATAATAAAGGAGGAAAACCCCAAGATTCGGTTTGGAATTATTTCGATGAAATATCAATATCTAACAGTTCATATAAAGAAGCTAGCTATAAAGTATGTCAAAAAAAATGGAAACGAGGAAAACCTGGAGATTTGAAAGCACATTTGGCTTTAAAATGTTCTTTGATTGCACGAGATACAAAATTAAAATATTTACAAATAATGAAAGATAGTGAACCAGCAAATAAAAAACAAAAAACAAATGAGATGATATTTTATTACAGCAATCAGATGGATATTTCAAAGATTTCAAAAGTGAATCAAGCATTATTACGATTTTTTGTATGTTGCAGAATTCCATTTTCCATTGTGGATTCACTATTTTTTCAAGATTTTACAAAAAGTTTATGTGATACTTATGAACCACCCAAGCGAACTACATTATCTAATCAACTTTTGGATTCAGAAATTGTTAATATTACATTAAAAATTAAAAATGAACTTTAACATTCTCAAAATTTAACATTAGGTACATATTAATTAATTTTTTAATATAAACAAATAAATATTTACCTATTATATTATAATATTTTTATAAGGTATTGATTCTTGGACCAATCCACTTGGACAAAGTATATATGCTTTTATTATAATTACTTCTGCACGTCATCAATATATACATTCAATAAACAATTTTTCTGGTGATTGATATACTGCAATCTTTAATGAAAAACAAATGATTAAAATTATTGAAAGTATTGGTAAAGAAAAATTTATGCTATTGTATAAGATGCCAAAGCAGCATTATTAGCTGTTAAATGACAAGTAACAAGTAAATATACTTACATAATTGCAATTAGATGCATTGCGTATCACATTAATCTTGTTACAAAGGATATTATATCTTTAGAATGGTCAAAAAAAATATTACAAAAATGTCAACAAATTATTAGTTTTTTTCATATGGCACACTGCACAGGAGCAGCATTATGAGATAAAATTATAAAATCATTTATATATGATGGTAATTTAAAATCTTCTGTTAAAACAAGATGGAGTACTGCATGGAATGTATGTGAATCAATTTTACATTTGAAAAATTGTATAAAAATTGTAAGTATTAGAATTTATTTATTATTTATTAATTTTATTTATTTTAACTAGTAAATTTTATAATTAAAAAAAGAT